CAGCCACCATAGCATCCCCAGGCCTTTAGCATGGAGAGAGGAGAGCCTGCTTAGGGAGATGGCGGTGACAGACGCATGCCAGCACTGCTTCTGCTGCTGGGGGAGAGGGTGCCTGTGCTGTGTCTCAGTGGGGTAACGTGGATGCAGTAGTGGGGATCATTACCAGCAAGTGTTGGGAGCGGAGGGGTAAGAGGCTGCCTGGCTCGTTTTGCAGTGGTTCTCTTCGATTTCAGGTTAGGGCAGGTGGAGATGAGCTGTCAGTTTACACACAATCATTTAGGAGATTTAGACCATGTGTGGTTTCACCAGCTGTGTTATTAATACGCAGTTCAGGTTAAAGCTGGGTGCTTCCCCAGCCCCCTTGCAGCAAGGACACAGAACAGTAAATGCACCTGCAGTTTTCTTTGTGAGGAGGGAGGAGTAGGCTGTGCCATATACAGCTGGTTTTATACCACTATAAAGTTATGTGTCGGTGCTGGGAGACACTGCTGGCTAAAATAATAAATTCTAAGCCAACCGGAGAAGCTACTGCAAAGCTTGGGACTTAGGAAGCTATTGCATGCTTAAAGAAGCTAGATGCTGAAGATTTGGTAAGTTGCTAGTAGTCACTGAATCTGATTTAGGATTTAGGCCCCTAATCTGCTCATTTGTTGCTTATCTGGATTGTTACATACTTATGTACCTGTAATAAATCTGGCTTTTCCTAAGGATGCTGTTCACAGTTCTAGGAGTAACACCTGAATTCACTTGAGTGAGGCGAGGTTGAGTTCACGGAGAAATCTGTTAGGAATAGAAAGTCCAAAATGTGACTCTGTGAAACTTCCTTCTGGGTGGAAGAGCCTGGAAGGCCAGTGGGGTGACATACCCCTGCCTGCTCAGGAGAGGCACCTGCACGCTACCGCTGGAGTGTGCACCCTGCTCCTGTCCGGATGGTGCTGGGTTTGATTTCTTTTTTTAATGAATGTTGCCTGGTGGTGTTTGTACTGACTCCTGCTTAATGTTTCTTTTGGATAAGGACTGGGACTTCTCATCTTCTGGTGTCTTTTCTGGGCTGAAGATTGACCCTGATACTCTAGTAAAGAAGCTTGACTTGGACTCCAGAAGCATCATTTCCTCCAGAACAGGTTTGTTGTTGTATTTTGAATGAGTGCCATGTTAGGTTGTGAGCAAGGACACTGGGGACTGTATTTGCAGTGGCCACCAGAATGAGCCCAGGAGAATCAAACCCAAACACAGCTTCCTGTGTTCCTGCAGGAGCTTTTAAAAGTGGTTTCTGTTTTGTGTTGGAGGAAGCAGAACGGAAGCAGAAAGGTTTGTGCTTTGTGCTCCCTAGGTGGGGAGCTAGCTTCAGGCTACCTGCTGGTCTGTACTGTGCAGGTGGAGCCCCCTCCTGTGGGATGTCCTCATGCAGCCAAAGGCTCCTGGTCCCCCGGGGGTGAGGGGACAGCAGAGCCCAGCCTGTGACCTGATCTCTGAGCTTCCTCTGCGGCTGCTTTTGCCTCACCAGCAGCTGCCATTCATACCCCAATATTTTGTCAGCAAGTTGCTTGTTGTGCGTCAACAGTGCTTTACCCATGGCAGCCTGATGACAGCCAGTTCTCTCCTACTGTCCTTTGCTGTTGCTAGGTCCCTGGCTCAAGGACTCCTGGGCAGGAGAGTCCAGCTCCAGAATATCGGGAGTGAGAGTGGGAACAGGGAGGAGATGATAGAGGCTTTTGTTTTCTAGTCCCACAGCAAGGAAATGCTCCCTCTCGCTGCTTAGTGGCAGACGGAGTTTTGTATCTGAAACCGGGTTTCACCTCTCTAAACGGCAACTCATGGCACAGCAATCTGTCCTGGTGCAGAAGATGTGTGTGACTCCCAAGTACCTTGTTTGCTAACTAAATGAATTTCTTCTCTCCATGCAGATTAATACTGCTACAGTGACTTTGTTTTCATGTCCAGGGCTACAAACAAACCCAGTAACCACCCAAGGGCTAGTGGTTGCCCGAGCAGTGGTGAGCTGTAGCAACCATAGCCCATCAGTCACCTTTGGTCACAGAATGGCGGAATGGGAAGGTTGTGTGAGGACACATTTGCTGGAGATGCTTGCCCTCTGCACAGAAACCTTTGTGAAATGTATTGTTTTCAAAACACTGAGCTCATTGTTCATAAATCTCCTGGGAAAAGGACATGTGTGCATATGTGTATGCATGTGAACATAGCCATCTCTTTAATTAAATTAGACAGCATGTTGTTGAAGGCTGACAGCCTGCAGTCCTAGTCTTTCATTGCAGGCTACAGCTGTACATGTCTGGTTTATAAATAGACCTGTGCTGCTGGTCCCTGTGCAGTGCTGATGATGCAGATGTGCGGTGCCTGACTATGTTTAACCCTCTCTTGAGGCTGCGTGCTGGCTTCATGCAGACAGTGATGCTGACCCAAATGCTTTGTGCTCCCTCGCACTTTGCAGATGATCAGCTAAAAATAGC